CTAGAGGGATACAATGATGGTCCAAACCAATCAGCCCTGGACAGCAAGGAGAGATTTGACCGTGTCGACGACACAGTCATCCAGTTTTCGGTAGTCAAGCTCCAAGATCGCCTTGCTCTGGGAGTTGTCATAGCCATACACGTCGGCCGGCATATCACTTTCCAGCTTGGAAGGAAGCAAATCCGCCAGATGTGGAAAACTTTCCTTGATGACTCGCGCGATATCGGCATTGGTTAAGTACGTGTCGGCCGCGACGAGAAATCGTCTGCCCCCGGCCTCTGGCACTTCGGCCGCCCGGACATGCGCCAGGGCGACATCTCGCACGTCGGCCCACAAGTACACCCCCAAGCTCGGGGGAAGACTGTGCCTATACTTGCCCTCGGTCATGCCTAGAATGCGTTCGTTCGAGGTGTTGACGCCATCGAGAGACGTGATGCCGTGAGTAACAGGTCCGAGCACCAATGGCGGGTTAATGGTGGCGATGTCGAAGTTGGGCTTCTCCCTGTCGACGAAGTCCCAAGCAGCTCTTTCGGCTAGTGTTTTGCTTGCCCGGTACGCGTTCGCGGCGTTAAGCGCGGCTTCATCCCTGGTGATCGGGTTCCAGCTCGTTTCGTCATACGTCTTCGGGTGCCGGGCAGGGCTCATCATGGAAGCAAACGACGATGTGACGACAACGCGTCGCACGGCCGGTGCTAACCTGTTTATCGAATGAAGCAACCCGGTCGTGCCGAGGATGGCGGGATCCAGGAGTTCTTTGGGATCAGTGATGTTCAAGTAGAAAGGTGACGCGGTGTGGAGGACGGCATCGAATGGTGGCTCTGACTGGACTGCGTCGTCGAAGGCCGCCTCTTCGGCGATGTCTTTGACGATGACATAGCCGAGTGTATCTGAGGGCGTGCTGCAGTGGTTATGCAATACACGTTGGGCTTTCTCGACGGAACGTGCTGTGAAGACGACTGTATGACCGCGCTGTAGGAGCTGGTCAATGCAGTGAGCGGCAAGGAAGCCGGTTCCGCCAGTGACAAGGACCTTCATGTCGGCCGCTGAATGATTGTTGAGGGATTGAGCAGTGTAGACTATGGAAGATATAAGGAACCACCGTTACTCATGGACTCTGCTGCAGCATTGAAAATCTGAGTTCTGGTGTAAAAGCACATGGAGTCTACTTGTGGAACACGTTTGATCGTGAGCTCGCTTCAAGAGATGTCTTTTCGGCTGATACTACACTTACAGGGATATGCAAGTCCTCAGAATAAGTAGATCGGCGCACCCAATTAAGTAAATCCATCTTTTGCAGAGTATGGGAGACCATGAAATGACTCCGATGACCGAGTGATAAGGCGTCGGGGTGGAATCTTTAGTAGTAGACAATCTCGATCCCGAAGTCCCGAGGAATAGAGTGGCAAGTTCGCGATCATCCAAATTTCTCTACAATACCGCATGTTATACATTTGCCCTCTCAGCGTGCTGACCAATCCAACCTCCGATCGACCACTCCAGCGAGCGAAGCGGGATATTGATGCAATCCTGTTTTAAGGCGTGCGTCCAGTAGTGGTGACTATTTTAAAAGCAATGACCCCATGATGAGTGGCAAAGTTCCCATTCCTGAAGCATCCCTGCGAGAACTATATATTCGTTGCTCAATATCGTTTAGAAGATAACAGCCCAGCAGCCGAACAATCACACCAACACCAAAAATGGCCAAAGTGCTGGCGGTTCTTGGAGCAACGGGCCAACAAGGCTCGTCAGTTGTGGACCATGTCATTAACGATGCTACTCTTTCGAAAATGTACACGGTGCGCGCTGTGACACGGTCGGTCGACTCCCCCAAAGCTCAGCAGCTCATGTCGAAAGTCGAAGTCGTCGTGGGAGACGTATCTGATAGACCATCTCTCAAAACAGCGCTCGCAGGGGTACATACCCTGTTTGCCATGACCATCCCGGCGTTTGGCGACGACGCGCTGGATGCCGAGTACAACATCATCAAAATGATCGCTGACGTGGCCGTCGAGCAAGGCGTCGAGTACATCATTTTTAGCACGTTGCCGTCGGTCACCAGAATTTCCGGTGGAAAATATAGAGGCGTCACTCCCTTCGACGCTAAGGCCAAGGGCGAAGAGTACATTCAAGGCTTGCCCGTCAAGAGCTCGTTCTACTGTCCCGGATCCTTCATGGAGAACTTTGCCTCTCAAACTTTCTTAGCTCCACGCCCCGACCCCCAGCACCGAGACACCTGGATACTGACTCGCAACATGGCGCCCGAGGCCCGTATGCCACTGCTCGACGCTGTCGGGGATGGCGGGAAATTCGTGGGTGCCATCCTCGCCGAGCCGGACAAGTTCCAGGGCAAGACACTCTGCGCCGCCACCAGGCTGTACACGATGAAGGAGATGGCAGCCGCCTTGTCCACTTCGAGTGGCAAGACCATTACCTATAAGCAAGTTTCGGATGAGGAGTTCGCCAAATGCCTTCCACCCGCAGCGACATCAATCTTCCTGGACTATTTCCGCTACATAGACGAGTTTGGATACTTTGGTCCGAAGTCCGAGGAGTTGGTGGCTTGGGCTGCTGCCAATGCGCGAGGTAAACTCTCGACTTTTGAAGAGTTTTTAGTCAGGCATCCTTATGAGCTGCCAGAAGTTGGCGCGTGAGATCTCGCATCAAGGGGAGAGGTGAAGCCTGAAGAATGGTAGAAGGAGTCTGCTCACATTGGTTAGCTTCGCTGTCCACAAGTTGCCAGACGGTGTATTGTCAGCCGAAAATAAAAATTATCTGCACTTGCAACATCCTTATGTCTTCTTTCTCAGTGCGAGAAGCGCGTAGATGAAGTCTTCCGACCCAAATCTCCGCAATTAACCTTCTGTTGCGAAGAGGCACATAAAATGAACGATAATCAACAATGTGATCCATTTACCCAAGAACACTTTTCTCTCAAAAGCAGATCTGCTCAAGTGAACGCCTTCAAAAGAGGCCGAGTTTCAGTGGTCGGTGGACAAGACCGAGGCTATCTGTTCGGTGAGAAGCATCAGAGTCTTGGAGCTTCCCTACCTCCTGATTGATCTCACACATGACGGTACATCGGTGGATGCTCTTCGCTCAAGACGCGTGTGCATCGCAACCGAACGAGCCACTTTGGCCGGTGTTACGAGCCGTCGGACCACCGAGCACCTCGACACGGAAGAGTAGTGGAGAAAAGAAGACTCGGGCTTGAGGCCGGGGGTACTTTCAAGTATCTTTCCTCTTGCAGAATACTCCTTCAACGACACGCTGAAGGGGCGACGGGTCTCTTGTCAGAAACTCTTAAGGAAACAACCGAAGCAGAGGCTTGCAAGGTAGAACATCAAAACATCAAAACATGAAACCAGTAACCATCCTAGGCGGTGGGTTGGCGGTGAGAGCCTCTTACACGCTTGATCTACAGCAGAATTTGACACATGCTCTATAGGGACTCACCCTCGCCCTTTTCCTTCGGAAACAGGATGTTCCATGCGTGATCTACGAGGTACGCGACGAGAACTTCCGAAAAGGAGGCGACATTGCCCTGTCTCCCAATGCCCTGCGCGTCCTAGACCACGTCGGTATCTACGGCAGGATCAGGAAGTGCGGCTGGAACTATGACGATGTCCAGATGATCACCGTCGCGGGCAAATATCTGGGATCGCACACATGGGGCGGGCTGCGCAGGTACCACTACCAGTGCCTACGCATTAATCGAGACGTCGTCCGCCAGGCGCTGCTCTCAGAAGTCCGGTTACAAGGCATCCCGATGCACTTTGGAAAGAGATGCGTAGGGTTGGCGGAGGACGGAGACACCATTTCACTGGCGTTTGAAGACGGGGAAACCATTCACACCGAGTTCCTCATCGGCGCGGATGGGATCCATTCTCCCACGCGGCAGTACCTCTATCCTGGAAGTTTCTCCAAGTACAGTGGCTTGCTCGTTGCCTTGGGCCACACTCAGAGGCGCTTGATGGGCGCCTCGATGGAGGGAGTGCAGTTGCCGTGTATGTTCTTCGGCAAAAACGGCACGTTTTCGATCCTGCCCAATAGCTACGACGGGGAGGAAATCGGCTATTTCATCACAACGGACGTTCCGGACCGGGGGGAGAGCAATTGGGCCGCGCTGGAGAAAGACAAACAAGCCATCAGCAACATCTTCGACGAGATCACCGAAGAGCCAGGCTGGCCACAGTTTGTGCGAGACTTGTCCAGGACGACGCCGCTGGAGCATTTCCGGACCTGGCCGTAAGTGACCGTGACTCCATGTATCCCCATCCACATGAAGCTGACTCCTCACCCCCTTCCAGGTTCGCAAAGGTGCCCGACCTCGAACACTGGGTCTCTCGATCGGGTAAAATGATCCTGATTGGAGATGCCGCACACGCCATTCCGCCTTCCGGGGGCCAGGGCGCCGCGTCTGCCTTTGAAGACGCGGAGACGTTGGCGTATGTGCTTGCGAGGTTGAATCTGCCAGAATCTACGCTTCCAGACATGAAACAGTGTCTTCAGCGGTGGGAGACACACCGGATGGAACGCATCGGTCAGATTCTGGATTACACGACCAGGGCTGGAAATATCCGCAAGAGAAGTTCCGGGCTGATGCAAATGGTCAAGGAGTGGTCGATCTGGGCCATGTTCAAATATTACCAGTATCGTGGCGGCGGACCGGCCTGGATCTACAACTACAGGGCAGAGGATATACTCAGTGTGATTTCCAAGTAGAGTCGAAGCATGCACGAGAACATGAAAGCTCCCAGGTCGGTTTTTCCCCCCGTAACGTCCAATCTTCTCCTCCCGAAGAGCAAGTCCGAGGTTTCGGACCCCGGCCATTCAGTCAGGCCGGTCCCAACTGGCCGGACAACAGGACCTCGACTTGAGTTCGGTCTTGGACGGGCTCATGTGACTGATACAATGACATTTAAAGCACGAGACTCTAAGCCACAGACCGGGTTCATCTTCTCTGAGCTTGGGATAATCGATTGTCATCCATTATAGCCCATCTTAACTTCTCGAAGAATCGGTCCAGTTTCATCAATCACCTAACAAGCTCACGGCCCATTATGGCTCCAGCAAAAGACAGCAAGCCAGGGCCTCCACGCTCCGAAAAATATCTCTTGGGGGAAAAGATGGTGGTGGAATTCCTCGGCAAGCCCTACGAACTTGGAGTGAGGATCTCAAACTGAAAACCTGGAAAAATCGATATAAAAAAGCTGATGAATCTGGGATCTGATCAGGAGAGCAACATTTTCTCGGAGACCCTGAGAGAGTACACGTTCGAGCACACCCTGTCCAGTTACGCTCGACCGGGCCTTACGTTTCGAGAGCGGAACTTGCTGAACATTGCGCTCTTCATCGCCACCAACCGCGAACACGAGCTGCGCATCAACCTGCTGTCCACCGCACACAACGGGCTTTCCAAGGAGGATACGTGCGAGGCCATTCGCCATTGCATGCTTTACACTGGGATGGCGGCGGGCAGAGATGCATTCTTGGTAGCCAGCGAGTTGCTCGGGAAATGATACAGGCCGCGTTGTTTTCAGAGTATGAGAGCTCGTTATGGCTGTAAGAGGTGGCAGGGGTGGCCAGTTTACGTCCGAGACAGGAATCGGGGGGGTGTAGATAGATCAAACTGTCCTCTGGGCGGCAAAGGATGACGATTGACCATTTCCGACCAGTTAACACAAGACTTATCAGGCTATTGCTGGCCATGACACTCTCAGTCTTTGGTTGTCCCCATTCCATTGGCGCAAAATACCTGCACTTCGGGTTCGGTAGTGGCTTCCGCTTACTACACGAGAGTTCAGCATGTTCATTTTGTCTACGAGGGCATGGAAGTCTGTTTGCGCGACTTCCGAGCCTGGTCAAACTGGCATCTCCACAGGATCCGCATCGTTCTCGGATGTCCGAACCCGTATCGCCATGGATCTCGGAGTTCGGGATTTCCATCATTCAACGTTCCCCGGATTGTGGAAATCAGCAGCTGTGGAGATGGTTGGTTTCTGGGGTAGATATCCCATATGGTCGCTCAGTGATTCACCATGCCACCAAGTCTCTGCTACAGTGCACCTACCCATTCTTCATTTTCTCTCCTCTGTACCCTCACCAATCCCGAAGTCGACATGGCTGCCATGGCAACTCCCAAAACCGTGTCAACAGACGTGATCCAAACCACTGAGATCAAGCATGCTGACTCCGAGCACCTGGAAGAAGCCGAGGTCTTGCTCGACAAACAGCTATTGCGAAAGATCGATTTTCGGGTTATACCCATCCTTGTCATTCTCTTCACCTTCTCTCTGATCGACAGGAACATCATCGCCACGGCCAGGGTGGCCGGGATGGGCACCGACCTGGCCCTGGTGGGTAACAGATACTCGGTGGCACTTCTGGTGGTGTTCCCACTGTACATCCTCGTCGAGATCCCGAGCAATTTCATCCTCCGGCGCGTCAGCGTCAAGATGTTCTTCTTCGGGATGGTCTTGTGCTGGGGCGCGGTGACCATGTGCCACGCCTTTGTGAAGACGTTCTCGCAGCTCGTGGCGGTCAGACTCCTGCTCGGCCTCTTCGAAGGCAGCTTCCAGGTTAGTCGAACATGAGCAGCCCGATGTGCGGCAATCAAAGCTGACTTGGATTTTTTTTCCAGCCTGTGTGCATCTACATCGTCTCTTCCTGGTACACGCGGTACGAAACGCAGAGGCGCCTTGCAATCTGGTTTGCTCTGGGCCAACTCCTGGCCGCATTTACGGGCATTCTCTCGTACGGCCTCAGCACCTTGGACGGCACCGGCGGCCTCGACGGCTGGCGTTGGATCTACTTGGTCCCGGGACTGATCACGATAGCGCTCGCCATTCCGGTTTGGCTGTTCGTCTGCGAATTTCCCGAAAGAGCAAAGTGGTTGCAGCACGACGAATTGGCTCGACTGAGGCTGTGGCTCGCCGAGGACCGCGCTGAGGTTCTCGAAGAAAAAATGACCGTGGACAGAGCCCTGAGTGTTTTCCGGGACTGGAAGGTCTGGCTGCTGGCGAGCCTGTTGTTCTTCCTCACCTCGGCCGCGTATACCATGAGCTTTTTCACGCCCACCATCCTCAGCTCCTTGGGGTTCAGCGTGGCCATGAGCCAGATCCTGGTCACGCCCCCGTATGTCGCAGCGTGTCTGGCCAACATTGCCACGGGGATCGCCGCCGACAAGCTGCATATGCGAAGCCCGTTCATCGTGGGCCACGTCCTTCTCACCATGGCTGGATTTGGCATGATCGGCTGGGGTCCCAACACCGGGGCGAAGATGACGGGGATTTACTTTTCCATCATCGGCTCCCAGTGCGCCATCCCCGCCGTGTACACTTTCCTCGCGAACAACGTGGTCGGCACCACCAAGCGACAGATCGCGGTGCCTCTCCAGACGGTTTGGGGAGGTATCGGCGGCATCGCTGGCTCCGTCTACTTTCGGCAGCAGGACTACCCCCACTATCGGCCGGGACTATATGCATCCTTCACCAGCCTGTCGATTTGCCTGGGCTTGACGGCGTTCCTCGTGATCTACTTCGTGAAGGAGAACAAAAGGGCAGACCGAGACGGCAAAATCCTTGAAGGCGTCGAGAACTTTCGTTATACTCTCTAAGACCCGGGGGGGAGGGGGGTGGGGGGGTGTTGGATGCGGGATCAGATGGATGCAATGACATTCCAACAAGGCAATGCTAGTTAGATATTTGGCTAGTGTTTTCTCGCTACCTGATCATCTCTTTTCTCAACACGCAAGCTCTAGTTGAGATGCAATAGTTCTGGTCCAGAAACCAGGACTCGAAATGGCAAACACTGCTTGCATGGCTGAGCGCGTGCGCAGACCGTAAATGTAAGCTAAAGTAACAAACTATTCTCGCTGATTGGATGCATGGGATATGTTCTGATGCTTGATGGTTCCCCAGCTCTCACTGATCCTCCCGTGTTCGCATCCGCTGCCTCACCCGGGCTTCATCAGCTTCAGGGAGCGGGGTAGAAGGAGGGTCCATCCCGCTTCCTGCTCCCCTCCCAGGGCACAAGCTTCCAGCACGCACTCACGGCACTACATAAACTCTGAACCAAACGACGGCTTCCCACCCCGCGGGTTTGATTTCCAAGCGTCTTCTTCGCGCCCACACCCGGTCATGCTGGAGTCCAAACTGTCAAAGACCTGTGACAATTGCAAGCTTCGCAAAGTGCGATGCAGTGGTGAGTCTGCGTTGAAGGGTCACCTCGATCACAACCGGTCGGGTGAGATCTAACACCTTTCCCCAGGATCCCGCCAGCCTAATATCATAGCCTGCGTCAACTGCACGGTGAGGTTCCAGCCGTAAGAAGCGTGATGACCCGTGTACTCACGGCAAGGCCCAGAAACGTCGGACTTCGTGCCACTTCAGCCTGAACAAGAGACGCACCAAAACGAGCGACGATGGTCCCGAGGAGTCTCAGATCCCTCCAGGGTGGCCCTTGGAGCCGGAAACCGAAGGAGGATCTGCCGCGAGAGACGTGGACATTCAAAGCACCTTAGAATACTCTGACCAGTCCCAGGTTCAACCGAGCTGGCTCAGCAGCGTAAGGGATGGTGGTCAAGCGCAGGCTCCTCGGCCGTCGACTTTGCACAAGACATACATGGACGAGATGCTAGAACAGCGAGGAGTCCATGGTAAGGAATTCCATGCATGTCTCATTCCCAAGGTATTTTACTCTCCAGGAAAGCCGTAGGATGGAGCTGATTCACGGTCTTAGTCTGAAAAGCACAATGGTCAGTGAATCCCCCAGCACGGCAATACACCGTCGCTCCTGAGACGTAACTCTGAGTGGAAGCCAGTTTCCAGCTCCAGTCTCTCTCTCTTCTCCGACAATGACATCCGCACCATCTCTCACAAGCTCAGCAACACCCGGTTCGGTGACTTGATTGAATCCTTCTCCGACTCTATCAACAAGCGCCTCGGTCGGAAGGCGAATGAGTCGTATCCCAAAGTGACCTTCAAAGTACAAGCCGAGCCGTTGCAACTATCTCTGGAGCAGCGGACCCAATACGTCCGAGGCAAGATTCTCTCCTCTCCAAAGCGTGGACCCGGCCTGCTGTTCCTGACATTGTTCACAGCCTACTTTGACCACATCCATCCGATCTTCCCCTTCTTGGTGGAGGAAGACTTTGCGCAACAAGTTCTGAACAACAGACACCAGGAGTTTCTCGAGCAGGGCTCTCCATTCCTCGTGCTTTATCATGCCGTCCTAGCCATCGGTAGCCAGTATACTGGATATGGGGCGTTCGAACCTGGAAAGGGTCCCTCATGGCAGATCTTTCAGGTGGCATTGAACCACTTGCAGGAACTCATAGGCTTTAAGCCGTGCTTGGAGAGCGTTCAGGTACAAACACCACTGTAAACCAACGCGTGTGCTGACTGATTGTCGTAGGCAATCCTTGCCATGGTAAGATAGCCAAGTTTGGCACTTATGTTGAAACTAATGTCGAAAGTTCTGTTATTCCATGACACATTGCGGAGGCCAGATCGCGGAGACTCTGTTGTCTGAAGCAGCCAGGATGGCACAGTTCGTTCGACTTAATCGCGGTTCTGCTGCCCTGACGGACGGTGCCCATCAGAGAACGTTCTGGGTTATATACTCCCTCGAAAAGCTGTCGAGTTTCTGCCAAGGAAGGACTTCAGTGCGTCACTGTGCTCTTTCTGTCTTTGCCAAGATCGTTTCTGACACAGGTGGGATAGGCCATTCCCGACGAAGACATTGGTTGCCATATCCCTCACGTTCCCGAATCTATCTTTGGAGAATTCAACTGGTTTTTGAGCTCGGTTCGGTTTGGCAGGCTAATATCTCGCGCCCAAAGTTCCCTTTTCTCAGTTAGCGCCACCATGAAGTCCAAAGACGAGTATCAGCGAGACCTCCAAGCAATCAACGTTCAGCTGGAGGCTTGGAGACAATCAATACCACCCAGCTTCCGCCCGGGCGACCGCTTTGCCCGAGCCAATCTAGCAAGTCCGACGTTTGTAATGGCCGCTCTAAGGACGCACCTCATCTACCATAACTTCGTCATGGTGCTGTGCCGGCTGAATTCACAGGTCAACGCCTGCAGTGCTTTCGGGTTCGAAGCCAACGACCGCGAGACTTTCATGAGCTCCGCCCGTCGAGTTATCGAACTGACGACGCATATCGAGGTAGAACCATACGCTCCTTCTGTGTGCGTCAGCTCCACCTGAGACCATTCCTGTGGCTTCAGCCATTTGCTGACTTCCTGGAGAAACAGTCTCTTGACGGTGTTCCCGCTGTCCGCTTTCTTCAGCCTGTTCCACTTGGTCATCGACAACCCGCACCACGCCGAAACTCGCGACAATTTGACCTTTTTGGACGTTGCGGCCGGCTACTTTCGCCGTCTCGAGTACATCATGAAACAAGAGTTTCCGTTTTCCATATTTCCGAAACTCGCTGCCGTCGCCCACGAGTATGTGCTCAAGTTGCCAGGGCCGTCTGACATCACGGCGCCCGCTGGACAAGTCGGAGCGTCGCCTTTGCCTGAGAACCATCTGCCCTCTGAACCGGGAATGAGTGTGGCGACACCGTCTGGACTGGGCTTATCTGGCGGTCAGGTACCCGCAATCCAGCAGCAGAACGACTTTGGTGACCAGTTGTATGGGATGGGTGGGAGCAATCGGCTTGAACCGTTGCCATTTGCGCGCGATGGAAATGTGTCTCAGGCAGATGGAACACAGTTCAATGCGGTAAGCGGTGCGATGGATTTTTTCGGGAACTTGTTGGACGAGACCTATAGTTCGTTGTACGGCGTGGACATCAGTTGGCAATGATATACTTGTTTACTGCGGCATGGCAGTGCATCTCTTGAGGACTGCGTCTCACTCTGCCTCTGCTTTCTCCCTCTGCCTCCTGAAGGCCCCCGATTCCTGCGCATGAGTTGATCGCTCTCGCATACATTGCTTTGGCGCAACCGTGATCAAATTAGCCTGCAAAATGTGCGCAAAGGACAAGTATAGGTAGTACCTACCAGTCTTCTGTAGTCTCGCCATGAGGTGCTTCGCTGCTTCTCGTGCATAGAGACCTAATACTGCGAGTCGGGTCCTCGAACCTCGGTCATCCTTGTCCATCGTGTTGATAGTCCGGCTCGGGCTATCAGACTCCAGTACCGAGAGAGCCGCTACCTGGGTGTAAACGCTGGTTGCTCACCGAGCTCCATGGCCTTTAGTGCAGACCACGGCGCGGCTACGACCCGCCCCCAACGGTCTCGTGCTCGCGGAATCCGTTTGATCTATCGCTTTGCCGCGCTGTCTAATCCAGCGAGCGTCGCTGTCTTGAGGCACTGTGAAAGGCTCGCCGGATTGGGGAACAACGTTTCAAGTAGGTTCTATCCTTCGACCGCTGGGTCATTCGGCCCTCGGAGTCTTGGAGCCTTCTCTCCCAATCTGCTCGGTATCTTAAGTATGGGCTGGACGCTCCCGCCACATTCTGGCCCAGTCGCTCATCGATCAGAAGTGCGATCGATCTATATCGCGAAACACCAGCCATGACAGACCGGCGAGCTCAGTTCCACATTCCAGCCGGAGACATTGCCGTGCAAGTCCGCATTATCGACACCAGCGCGAGAATCGGAAAGATACCTCTCACTTTCCTGATGAGGCCAGCCGTCGAACGCATGGATTTGATGCCGGAATTGCCGTCCTGGTCGTTCCTCATCGAGCATCCTTCCGGGTACAAGGCCGTGTTTGATCTGGGCATGCCAAAGAATCGGACGGAGCTCGCGCCTCTGGTGGCCGACGATGACCGCTTTCTGGACTGGGACATCCAGACCCCCAAGGAGGTCATCGACATCCTTGAAGAACACCAGGTACCAGCCGCCCGAATCAACACCATAATCTGGAGGTGAGTCGCGCCTTCTCTCTGCATGGAGGTCTCTTTCTGGGTTGACAGATCTCGGCCGGTAGTCATTGGCACTGGGACCATATCGGAGACCCTTCACGATTCCCTGCAGGTACAGATTTGGTGGTCGGCCCAGGATTCACAGAGAATTTCTATCCGGGCTATCCCGACAAGGTCGACTCACCACTGCGGGCAAGCGACTTCCGGTTCGTGCCTCTTCCGGTCTACGAGAGAATGTCGAAGATGTTGTGCCGCTAAATGCTCACAGGGGCCGCAAAGTGGTGGAAATCAGCTTTGAAGACTCCAGCCGTGCCGCCAGGGTGGGAGACTTTCGCGCGCATGACTTCTTTGGAGACGGTTCGTTCTATCTGCTGGACACTCCGGGTCACGCGATAGGTCATATGGGGGGACTGGCTCGCACCACAACGAGTCCCCCAACGTTTATTTTCATGGGCGGCGATCTCTGCCATCACAGTGGCCAAATCAGACCTTCCCCATACGTCCAGATCCCAGCCCAGCTCTCGCAACCACCATTTGGAGTCCAGACATCCTACCCTGGACGCCAGTTCCGAGAGTTCCTGCTCTCAAAGACTGGCTCGACCGAGGTGGCGCTTTTCGAGCCGGCCGCTGCTCAGTGCGTGAGCGAGGAAGATCCATCGGCCACGCGTTTGAAAGCGCAGAAGGCCGACGCCCAGGACAACCTTTGGTTCGTCTCTGCGCATGACCCAAGCTTGACCGGGGTGGTCGAGTTCTTCCCGGCGTCTGCCAACGCGTGGAAAGCGAAGAACTGGCGCTCCAGAACCATGTGGATTTTCCTGGTCGACTTCCAGGAAGCAATCAAGAATAGTCCACTACGTGAATAATCTTATGTGGCAGTGACCCTAAGATTCTGAAGAGAAGCCGACACGAAAAGACGCGAACATGGAATGAGGTGGCTGATTTGCCCATTATCTGGTGATAGTTGCCCTAACCCAATTAGGAATGTTAGCAGGGTTAATTAGATTTTCACGTCGGCACGTCAAACTGCCGTGCGCGCGTCCCCACTAGTTAGATAGACAATCAATCAGGACAAGTTGGTCCCACAGTGATATCTATATGCTTTAATGTTAATTTGAGCATTTGAGCGCGAGGTCAAAAGCCCTTGCGAACTTTGACAATTCACGATGCAAGATATCGCTGTCTGAAAGCCAGATCTGATGTGAACACTCTCTGAGATCAACTAGATTGTATTCAATTTTCTTCTCCGGTTGCCTCTGCGCCTTGTTTGTCTAACCTTTACCACATCTCTGCGCGTGGGAGCTTTGTCTTCGCCATCCCGACAACATTCCAGGCCGCCCAGAGAGCCCCCTCTCTAGATCTTGTTGAATGGGTCATCCAGGTACCAGACCGAGTTCGTGTCGTCGCGGAGCTCGCACTGCGTGTAGCCGTTGCCGAGGAACTGGAACCTGTTGTTCGAGAGATACGTGAGGTCGTAGTCCTCCCACCTCACCTGCCTCAGAAGCTCGAAGAAGTGAAGCCGGCTGCCCGGATAGATGGCGGTGACCGGCCCGTGGACCTTACCGTTCTTGAACCACGACCGGCAGGCTGGACGGAGGAACGTGTCAGCCATCGTGCCTCGAACCACGGTATCAGAATGTGGGTCGCGGCCTTACCTGACGACCACACCATGCGCTTCATAAGTTCGTGGGTGTAGTTGTAGTGGTCCCTGATCACGCTCTCCTTGGGCTCGAAGGTCTTGATGCCCTCAGTCTGGACCTTTTCGATGATCTGGAAGGCGTAGCGGGTGTACCACTCCAGGACCTGCAAAAGTGAGCCATGGCTCGTGGGGCCGTTGGGCCCAATCAACACTGTCTCCGCGGTTAGCTAGATCCCACGATAACGAACGATGGTGTCCGACCCAAGTGACGGACTTACGGAAGAAGTTGGGGAAATTGCGGACGGTGATGCCCAAGTATCCCACGGGGAAATCGCCGAATTGCTCCTGGATGCTGACGCCGCGGCGGCCCGTCAGTTGGAAATGCGGCGTGAACGACGTGTCGAAGCCCGTCGCGCAGATCACCACGTCGACGTGGTGCTCCGTCCCCGAATCGTCCACGACGCCCGACTCGGTGAGTCGCGTGACTGACCGCTGGACCGTCTCGACGTTGTCCTGGAGAAGGGACCGTAGATAACCCGGCCCAGGTGTCATGCGTCGGCAGCCCAGTGGGAAGTCTGGGATCAGTCGCTCCGTCAGCGCCGAATTCCCATCCAGTTGCGCCCGCATCATGTCGGCGGTGGCGGATCGCGAGTCCAGCTGGTCCTTGTCCTGAGTGTGCATCAGCGAGAACCTCTTGTTCAGTTCCCCTTCCACGTCGCGGCAGTATTGATCGTAGCGGCCGGGATTTTGGCGGAACTCGGCCTTCTGCTCCTCAGAGTATCGAAAGTTGGTGCCGTCCTCTGCGGCATACTTCGCCCCGAACCCCGTGGTGATCCACGCCGCCGAGCGCACGAAGGCGGTGAGTTTCCGTACTCGAGGCTGTATGGCGGGGATGAGTTGCACCGCGGACGAGCCCCCTCCGATGACGGCGACTTTCTTGTCGGTCAAGTCGTAACCGGCGTCCCAATCCGCGGTGTGCATGAGTTTCCCCTTGAAAGCGTCCAGCCCTGCAATGTCGGGATACTTCCACGAATTGAGGATGCCCGAGCCGCTGACGAGGATGTCGCAGCGGTCCTCAAACGGCACCCCGTCAGCCCCCAACACCCTCAGTTTGTACTGGCCTTGGTCTTCGTCCCAGGTCGCCGCGTGGACGGTCGAATTGTACCGTATGTACCGTCCGAGGTTGAACTTTGCCGCGATGTCCTTGAAATACTGCCAGATCTCTGGGGAAGAGGAGTAAAAGTGAGACCACTCGGAGTTCCGAGCCCACGTGAACTGGTACGCGTGTGAGGGAATGTCGCAAGTGCAGCCCGGATAGCGGTTCTCCAGCCAGGTGCCCCCAATATCGCTGTTCTTTTCGTAGATCTGCAGGTCGATGTTGTCCAGAATCCGTTCTGCCTTGTAGGCGATCTGGAGCCCTGTGGCTCCGGCACCCACACAAATCATTCTGAGGCGTCGTTTTGTGTAAAGGGGCTGCTCGGTCACGCGAAAGCCGCCAAAATCTTGGTTGTACCACTCGTTCTCGTGCTTGGAGGAGCCAGCTAAAACTCCGTTGGTAGTGGGAGCTTGCGACGTGGTCGAGATGTGACTTTGAACGGTCATACTGTTTGTCGTCAGAAGACACCCCTGCGCTTGGTTTGGTGAACGATTTTGGTAGAAAAGGATTGGATACCAGGCTATCTCGAACTCGAGAGCGCTTGATATCGGGAATCTTCAACAATATATGGGCCAATAGTCGCACTTCAAGGGTCATACCTGGTTCCCTTAATGACTACTGTCGCTTTGTCAGACCTTGAGCGTATGGCCACCCGAGGCACATCTGTTGTACAGCAGCTCGTCCTGACCACCGAGTGGTGGTGGAGACCGCATGAGGAAGAACTCCGGGCTCTAAAGCAGGCCACACTCCGAAACCCGAAAGTCTGGTTGAAGGCCGAACGGTCACTCCGATCATGGCCAGCATTTTCCCGCTTTTTCAACAACAGCGTCACGTCAACCAGACGTTGTGAATGATACCCTCGCGTTTCCAACGAGACAAAGCCAGTCGGGACCACAAAGCCATGGCTGCCTTACCGAGCCCAGCCTTCGCAGCTGTGATGGCAAATAACATTCACTAATTGCGTGGAGCACAGCATGGGTTCACCGCAGGAATGCGCACAATCTTGCACCATTGCCTTGCTGCCTAATCAGGCTCATTTGAATTGCCAGATATGCTATCAGCCTTTGTCTCTTCTGGAGCCATTCGCCTCGTTCATCAGCCTGGGTCTCGGTAACAAATGAGAGGCGAACACCCTACATATA